TTGAGTCGCACACCACCTGCTGTAGTGTGCCCTGCCCTGCCCACGCGTTGCGCCGCCGTGCACGCCCTGCCTGAGCCTCGAACCGCCGCGCGCCCTACCCTATCTGCGCCCTACCCTATCTGCGCTCTGCCCGCGCCGCGCGCCCTGCCTTGCCCGCGCGCCGCACTGCTGCGCGCCGTGCCCTGCCCGCGCGCCGCGTCGCTGCGCACCCTGCCCTGCACGCGCGCCGTGTCGCCGCGCGCTCTGCCCTGCTCGCGCGCCGCGCTGCCGCGCGCTCTGCCTTGCCCGCGCGCTGCGTTGCTGCGCGCCCTACCTTGCCGGCGCATCGCCCCGCGCGCTCTGCTCTGCCCTGCCCGCGCCCTACGCCGCGCGCCCTGCCGTGCCCGCGCGTTGCGTGCCCTGCTCTGCTCGTGCGCCCTCACCTGAGTGCCGTGACCTGCCCTGCCGTTCTGCATTGTTGCTAGCGCGCTCCCTGCTACACTGCTGCTAGCATGCTGATCTGCTGCTAGCGCGCCCGACTGCTCTGTCTGCTATGGCTGCTCTCAACGTTCTCACCTTCGATTCGGAGGGCCGTCCGATAGAGCTCAATGCATGGCTAGACGACTTATAGCTGTTCCTGGTGACAAACTCTAAGGACGGTATTTCGCTGTTTGACCTCACTTTTGGTGCCTCGCCCGCCCCTGACGCCACAGCTGACAGTGCGACCCGCTCACAATGGCTTACCTCTAACGCTGCTGCTCGCCTAACCGTTCGCAACCACCTGCCTTTAGCCAAAAGGCACGCATAAGACAGCTAAAGCACTGTACGACGCTGTAGTTGCTCGTTACTCCTCCCCGGCCACTGCTGCTCTAGGCCGCCTTCTCCTGCCCTACTTGTTCCTAGAGCTGACCGCCTTTGCCATAGTAGCCAACCTCGTCACTCACCTATGCACTAGTGACACTCGCTACCGTGCTACGCTCCCCGCTGAGTTTCTCACCAAGAACCCCCCCCCCCATGTACATCATGCTCTACTTCATAGTCACCCTCCCCCCTTCTCCCCTTAGTTGCCTCTGCTGCAACTAATGACTACCTTCGTGCTGAGGAGGTAGGGGCTGCGTCTGCCCCTAGTGGGAGGCGCCGCAACGGCAAGGGCAGGGGAGGCAGGAGCGGTGGGGGTGGCAGAAGTGGAGGCGATGGTGGGGGCGGTGGAGGCAGTGGAGGGGGTGGCGGCGGAGGAGGTAGTGGTGGTGGGGGCGGAGGGGCAGGTGGCGGCGGTGGTGGCGGCAGTAGGAGTGGTGGAGGCTGCGGTGGTGGCGGCAATGGTGGCGGCAGTGGGGGTGGAGGCGGAGGCTATGGAGGCGGCCAGAGGCAGCAGCAACGTCAGCCCCTTTCGTCTCAAGAGCTTTGTGAGTGGTTTGCTCAGTGTGGGGCGGCTGGGGGTAGTGGTTCCTGCCCGTATGTCATTCGCACACGTGACCGCACAGGTCAGACATGCGGGAGGCCTCACACTCAGCACCGCTGCTTCTCCGTCTTACCGACGCCTTTCACGTAGAGTTTCCTGATGCACCTGAGCTCCCCAACTGGGCGGAGCTGCTTAGGTAGAATGTTGATATCTTTGCTCTAGACTTGGATGCTATCCTATCTACCATGTATGCATTGACTGTTAGTGCTGAGGGTGACTGTTACTTGTGTATGCTGCCAGACCCAAGTATAGAGGCTGCTGCTCTAGGTGCTGGTGAGTCTGCTTTCTCTGGTACTGCGTCTGATGCGGCCTAGCACACCTTCACGCTTGATTCAGGTGCTTCCCGCTGTTTCTTTCGCGCCAGTACCGTAGTCACACCGCTCTTTGCACCTTTTGCTGTCTCTTTGGCTGACCCCTCTGGGGGCCGAGTCCTTGCACGTTCCTCCACTATTCTGCCCTGTCCCGCGGTTCCGTCTGGGTCACTGTTAGGTCTCCACCTCCCCTCGTTCTCTACGAACTTGGTGAGCACTGCTGTCCTCCAGGATGCGGGGGTTGACACCTTCACCCCTGGATGGAAGCATGTGGCGATCTGTACGTGGTCCCGGACCGGTCGCCACCTGGCCACATTCACCCGTCCGCCTGGGTCGAGTCTGTACACACTGACTACTGCGCCTCCTCAGGTAGCTGTGTCTGCATCTGCATCAGGTCAGCTAGCTGCCCCCTGCTCGTGTCGCGCCCTGTCGCACCAGACGCTCCTTTGGCACCACCGTCTTGGTCACCCCTTTGTGGCACGCCTTCGTGGCATGCACTTCCGTCTCCTTGTCTCTAGTCTTCCCAGGACTCCGCCTCCCCTACCACCCTCGCTTGCCCCTCCCTGCCTTCCTTGTGTTGAGGGGCGGCAGCGCGCCGCTCCTCACTCCTCCTCGTTCCCCCCGACAGAGGCTCCCCGGCAGACTCTCCACCTAGACGTGTGGGGCACAGCCCGTGTCCGTAGACAAGGCCACGAGCGGTACTTTCTGCTGGTTGCAAACGACTACTCGCGTTACACCACGGTCTTCCCCTTGCGCCGTAAGGGGGAGGCCCCTGATGTTTTGATCCCTTGGATCCTCGCTGTTCGTCTCCAGCTCCGCGAGCGGTTCGAGACGGACCTTCCAGTCATGCGTCTATACTCTGACAGAGGTGGTGAGTTTTCCTCCGACCTCATGCGGGCCTTTTGTCGTGCGGAGGGCATTCGCCAGACGTTCACACTTCCAGCCTCTCCGCAGCAGAATGGGGTTGCTGAGCGCCGCATTGGCTTAGTCATGGAGGTCGCTCGTACCTCCATGATCCATGCTGCTGCCCCCCATTTTCTATGGCCGTTTGCAGTCCAGTACGCTGCACATCAGCTCAACCTCTGGCCCCGTGTCTCCTTGCCGGAGACCTCGGCCACACTGCGTTGGACGGGGGAGGTTGGCGATGCGTCGGTGTTCCGGGTTTGGGGATGTCGAGCCTTTGTCCGCAATACGTTCGCGGACAAGCTCTCCTTCCGCGCCGTTCCTCGTGTCTTCCTTGGCTTTGTCCCAGACGCGCCTGGCTGGCAGTTTTACCACCCCACCTCGCGCCGTGTCTTGCCCTCTCAGGACGTCGTGTTTGACGAGTCGGTTCCCTTCTACCGTCTCTTCCCCTACAATACTGCCCCTCTCCCTCCCCCGCCGCTCTTCCTCGCACCAGGTCCTCATCCGATAGACCCCCTCCCCCCTCAGGGTCCTGCTCCCTCATGTGTGTCCTAGGTAGACCCTGTCGAGCCTGTCGAGGTAACTGTCGACTCTGGTGCTGCTAGAGGTGCTGCGTCTGGGGGTGCTGCGCCTACAGGTGAGGGGCCTTGTAGTGCTGAGCTTAAACATACTAAACCTGGGGTTGCTGAGTCTGAGGGTGCGTAGCCTGGGGGTGCTGAGCCTAAGTGTGCGGATCCTAGGGGTGCTGAGCCTGAGTGTGCAGAGCCTGGGGGTGCTGAGCCTGGAGTGTCGAAACTGTAGGCGAAAACGATAAACAGGATAGAGAGGTTTTCACTAACATGCAGTTGAGTACATATAGCAAACCCTAGTTCGGGCTGTACTCGCTATAGATTACCCCACTGCAGGCTACATTAACATCACATTCTGACACACCCCCATAGTGAAAGTGGGGTACAATCAACACAACAAGCAGGCAAAGCAATAGTTTACAATTATAAGCAAAGCTAGAGGCTATCACAGAGGGCAAGTGAGGAGGAGGAGAAACTGTTGGGGCAAGAATATGGGAGGCAACGGCTGAAGCTGCAGACACACGGGCAGCAGGAGTGCGCAGCACTGTCGCTACCAAGCTAAACCCGGACTACACGGCGACAGACGCAGCTGGCTCACTGTGCTCCCAGGAGTGCTCACACTATAGCTACTGGGCGCAGAGCCCCGGACTACTCAGGCCACAAGGGGGTTGTGGCTCTCTGGACTACCAGGAGTGCTCACACTGTAGCTACCAGGCGCAGAGCCCCGAACTACTCAGGCCGCAAGGGGTCGTGGCTCCCTGGACTTCAGGCGCTGCGGACGACAAGTCGGCTACCTCCGGTCAACCTCCCCCAACTGTCCCACACCCGTGTCACACACCCCCTGCTACACCTCTAGCAAAGCTTACACGCCACCCCCCTCGTACCACTCCGACGGCTCCAACACATCCACCCCCCTCAGCGGTAGCTGCAGCAGTGGGAGACGAAGGAGGAGGAGGAGGAGAAGGGGACATCTAACACACCCGGCACCCCCATACTCTCCATGTCGAACTTATATGATCTAGCCTGTGTAGGCTGTAGCGGGTCAGATACTAAGGGGTACACAATTTTAGGGTTTCATATTTGTATCACTTTCATTCCTTAGTCATTCATTCTTGTTCTAAGTTTCTCATAGTATCGAGCAGGTTCCCTAGTGGGAACTGTCCTAGGGCCCACCAAGACCGATTTTTTTTTCCTGCCCGGGACGCGCGTTGTCCCTTGCTCGAGGCGCGCCTAGTGTTCTGCCCTTAGTGGCCCGTCGCGCCCTCCTTAGCGGCCCCATTGCGCCCACCTTAGCAACCCCGTCGCGCCCTCCTTAGCGGCCCATCGCGCAGCCCTTAGCGGCCCCGTCGCCGCCTCTGCCGGCCTCGTTGCCGCCCTTGACGGCCCGGTCGCCGCCCCTACCGGCCTCGTTGCCGCCCTTGACGGCCCCGTCGCCGCCCCTTCCGGCCCCATCGCCGCCTCCCCCTTTCAGCAGCCCCGTCGCCGCCCTTTCAGCGGCTCCGTCGCCGCCCTTCCAGCGGCCCCGTCGTCGCCCTTTCAGCGGCCCCGTCGCCGCCCTCTCACTGGCCCCGTCGCTGCCCTTAAGTGGTTCCGTCGCCGCCCTTTCAGCGGCCTCGTCACCGCCTCTTAGCGGCTTCATCGCTGCCCTTCAGCGGCCCCGTCGCCACCCTTCAACGGCCGCGTCGCCGCCCCTTTCCGTGGCCCCGTTGCCGCCCCTTTACGCGGCCCCGTTGCCGCCCCTACTCGGCCTCGTCGCCGCCCCTTTCAGCGGCCTTGATGCCGCCCTTCAGCGGCCCCACTACCGCCCTTCCGCGGCCCTGTCGCCGCCCTTTCGCGGCCTCGTCACCGCCCTTCAGCGGCCCCGTAACGCCCCTCAACAGCCTCGTCGCTGCCCTTCAGTGGCCTCGTTGCCGCCCCTTGCGGCCCCGTCACCGCCCTTCACGGCCGTGCCGCCCTTCCTCGGCCCCTCAGGCCGCCCTTCCCGGCCCCGTCAGCAGCCGAGCCGCCGTCACCACCGAGCCGCTGAGCCGCCCTTGCCACCGTGCCGCCAAGCTGCCGAGGCACCGAGCCGCCGAGCTGCCGAGACGCCGAGCCACCGAGCCGCGGAGCCGCCCTGCAGCCCAGCCGCCGAGCTGCCGAGCCGCCGAGCCGCCACGCCGCCGCGGCCGAGACGCCGCAGTTCCTGCAATCGCGGCCCTGTCCCTGCTGGCCTGCCTCGGCCCGCCCCACCTGCCTGGTAAGAGCAGCGCCTCTGCCAGTGCATTGCCCTGCCCCGCTACTCTCTCTGACAGTCTACTGCTGTCATTGCCACCCCCAGTGTTCTCACCTTTGACGCTCAGGGCCGTGCTGTTGACTTTGAGGTCTGGGTAGATGATCTGCAGCTTTTCCTACAGTGCGATAGGGCAGACGGTCTCTCTTTGTTTGACCTCACCTCTGGTGCCTCTCCTGCCCCTACTGCTGATGCTGATGCCACTGTTCGCTCACAGTGGGCCACGCGCAATGCTACCGCTCGCCTTGCTGTGCGCCGCCACTTACCGACCGCTGAGTGCGCGCATTTCAGTCAGTACAAGAGTGCTAAGACCTTGTACGACGCTGTCATTGCACGCTAGTCTTCCCCTGCCACTGCTGCCCTTAGCCGCCTCATACTGCCATACCTCTTCCATGACCTCGCCGCTTTTCCCACAGTCGCTGACCTCATTACGCACCTTCGCACTAGTGACATTCGCTACTGCGCTGCGCTTCCTGCTGAGTTCTGCGCCAAGAACCCCCCCCCCTATGTACATCACCCTCTACTACATAGTCACTCGTCTCCCTGACACCCTTCGCTCGGTCAGGGACCACTTCCTCTCTGTTTGCCCCACCACCCTCACCGTTGACCTCCTCGAGGAGTGCCTCCTAGCAGCAGAAAAGAGTATAGCCGCTGTAGGAGCCTCTCGTGGTGACCCTTGTACCCCCGTCTTTGAGGGGTGCTCCCCCTCCCCCCTCTTGCCCTCTGTTGCCTCTGCTGCTGCGGCCGACCTCGTTGGTCTTGAGTCGGTCGGCGCGGCGTCCGCCCCTAGCGGGAGACGCCGCCCAGGCAAGGGCAAGGGGGGCAAGGGCGCTAGAGGGGCTGGCGGGGGCGGTGGAGGCGGCGGTGGAGGCGGCGGAGGGAGTGGGGGTGGCGGTGGGGGTGGTGGCGAGAGTGGGGGCGCTAGTGGCGGCAGTGGAGGCGGAGGAGGCGGCGGTGGTGGTGGTGCGAGCGGAGGTGGTGGAGGTGGAGGCGGTGGTGGAGGTAGCGGCGGCGGAGGTAGAGCTGGTCGGGGCGGCTCTTTGGAGAGGGTCGGCTCCGGTGGTGGTCAGTGCCAGCAGCAGCAGCAGCGCAGTCGTGAGACCCCTTCCCCCTAGTAGCTTCGTGAGTGGTACACTGCTCGTCAGCGGGGTGGGGGTGCTGGCCCCTATACCTACGTTCTACGTACGGGCGACCGCGCGGGTGAGCAGTGTGGGGGTCCGCACTCCACCTAGCGCTGCTTCTGCCGCCTGACAGACGCTTGGCGTCATCAGTTCCCCGACGCTACTGAGATCCCTCGCTGGGGCGAGCTGTTTAGGGCGGGTGTTGCGATCTTTGATCTTGATTATGATGCTATTCTTGCTGCAATGTATGCTGTGACTAGTAGTGATGAGGGTGACTGTTACCGGTGTTTTCCGCCTGACCCGGGCATTGAGACTGCTGCTCTACGTGCTGGTGAGGCTGGTGCTCTAGGTGCTAGTGAGTCTGCTGCCCCAGGTGCTGGTGAGTCTGCGCTCTCAGGTACCGCGTCAGCTTCGGCCACCCGCACCTTCACCCTTGACTCGGGTGCTTCTCGCTCCTTCTTTCGAGACCGCACCACGCTTACGCCGCTTAGTCGGCCAGTGGCAGTCTCCCTGGCAGACCCCTCTGGGGGTCCTGTCCTTGCCCACTTCTCCACTGTTCTACTGTGTCCAGTGGCCCTTTCTAGCACCCTGTCGGGTCTGTACCTCCCCTCGTTCTCTACGAACGAGGTGAGTGGTGCTGACCTCCAGGTAGCCGCGTCGGGTCAGGTGTGTGCTGCGGCGTCCAGGTTGGGTCCTGAGTCTACCCCCTACTCGTGTCGTCTCTTGTCTCACCAAACTCTCCTCTGGCACCACCGCCTTGGTCACCCCTCCCTGCTTCGTCTTCGAGGCATGGCCTCCCGTGTCCTTGTCTCTGGTCTCCCCAGGTCCTTCCCTCCCCTTCCTCCAGGGCCTGCCCCCACCTGCGTTCCCTGCGTCGAGGGACGGCAGCGCGCTGCTCCTCACTCCTCCGAGTTTCCTCCGACAGAGGCTCCGCTGCAGACGCTTCACATGGATGTGTGGAGCCCAGCCCGAGTCCGTGGACAAGGTCACGAGCGTTACTTCCTGCTGGTGGTTGACGACTACTCGCGTTACACTTCAGTCTTTCCCTTGCGCAGCAAGGGTGAGGTCACTGAGGTGTTGATCGCCTGGATCCGCGCAGCTCGTCTCCAGCTCAGAGAGAGTTTTGGCTCCGACTTTCCTGTTCTGCGTCTGCACTCTGACAGAGGCGGAGAGTTCTCCTCTGACCTTCTACGAGCCTTCTGTCGTGCACGAGGCATCCGCCAGACCTTCACGCTTCCGAACTCTCTGCAGCAAAATGGGATTGCTGAGCGCCGCATTGGCATGGTCATGAACGTCGCTCGTACGTCCATGGTCCATGCGGCTGCCCTCCCTTTTCTATGGCCGTTTGCGGTTCGGTACGCGGCGCATCAGATCAACCTTCAGCCCCGGGTCTCCATGCCAAAGACCTCCCCAGCTTTGCTGTGGAGGGGGAAGGTTGGCGATGCGTCTGCATTCCGTGTGTGGGGATCTCGGGCGTTTGTCCGCGACTTGTCTGCGGACAAGCTGTCCCCTTGTGCTGTTCCCTGCGTCTTCCTTGGCTGCCCCCCTGACGCGCCGGGCTGGCAGTTCTATCACCCCACCTCGCGCCGTGTTTTGACCTCCCAGGACATCACGTTTGACGAGTCGGTTCCCTACTACCGTCTCTTCCCCTACCGCACTGCGTCCCTCCCCCACCCGCCGCTCTTCCTTACGCCAGGTCCCCCTCCGGTAGACCCCCTCCCCTCTCAGGGTCCTGCCCCCTCAGGTGTGTCTCAGGTAGACGCAGTCGACCCTCTTGAGGTAGGTGTTGACTCAGGTGCTACTAGGGGTGCTGAGCCTGCAGGTGCTGGGTTTGGGGGTGCTGACTCTGGGGGTGCTGAGCCTGGGGGTGCTTACTGTGGGGGTGCTGCGCCTGGGGGTGCTACGCGTGGGGGTGCTGCGCCTGGGGGTGCTGAGCCTGAGGGTGCTGCGTCCGGGGGTGCGGAGTCTGAGGGTACAAGGCCTAAAGGGTTCTTCGGGTACTTCGTCCCGGCGGGAGCTACTCTCTCCACAAGAGCTGCGTGAGTGGTTTGCCCGGTGCTGAAGGCGAGCTGCTGGAGCGAGAGGTGCTGCGGGTGCTAGAGGTTCTGCTTCTGCTGACGGTGCTGGTGCTGCGGGTCCCGGAGGTGCTCGTACCGGGAGTACTAAAACTGCAGGGCCTGCTGGTGCTTCTCGTACTGGAGCTGGTGGTGCTGCGGGCGTTAGTGCTACCGAGGGTGCTGGAGCTGGACCCGCTGCGTCTTCTGGTGGTCCGGCTGGAGCTGGAGCTGCTGAGGGTGTTGGTGCTGAGGGTGCCTCTCGTGCTGGTGCCTCTGAGGGTGCTAGAGGTGGCGTTGCTGGAGCTGGGGGTGCTGCTGGCGCTGGTGCTGTCGTTCGATGTGCTGGTGCTGTCCCCTCTGGTGCTGGTGGTGCTGAGCGGCCGCGGCCGTACTTCGTTCCGCTCCATGAGCAGGTTCTTGGTCTTCATCAATATTTTGAGGTGTACCCTTTTGGCGAGCTTCGAAATCACTTGAGGCTTGACACCAAGGCTCTGGCTCTTCATCACAAACTCATCCTTGAGTTCTTAATGGGTCTTCTGCACACACCTGCGACACTCCGAACGTTCGACACTGGACAAAATAGAAACCACGCACGACAAAATAAAAACCGCGCGCGAGACACAAACGACCGCGTAACACGCGTCTAGCGATAACTCGCTATTGACTCGACACACACACTCGACATCATGACTCAACATTCACACACAATTATAAGCATGAAATATATATTATCCCATGCCCTCATACCATTCCATACACACACACATGCACGCTCACGGACAAGAAGCTGAGTGCAAACCGTAGGGTTGCACCAACAAATTCCCCCTCTGATTGTTGGCCTTAGGATATGTTGCTCTCTCAATTCAGAGCCATCCCAACCAGCTTGCAACACTTCCAATGCTGCTGCTCCACTAGCCTCTTATGAGAAAACTGAAATGAGGATGAATGAACTATGAACGAACTAACCCTAATTGGGTTGTACCCCTTATGGGCTACCCCACTATAGCCTACACAATAAGCACAAGCTATATGTTCGGACACACCCCCATAGGCAAAGTGGGGGAGAACAAGGGGTCACAAGACCAATCAAGCAAAGCAAAGCAAAGCAAGCTCAGGGTGGATCACAAAGTCACCACACATTCTGAGCACAAGTTCAAGGCCACAAGGCCAGTTCACATGCAGGAGTACATACATATAAAGGACTAGACAAGGAAGAGCAGGTGTGTATATATACAACACTACAAGCAAGGTCAAGAGGTGAGCAAGTGAGGCAAGACAGGCACAAGACCCAACTGCGTGCAGAAGCGCTGATGATCACAAGGCGCAAGTGCCTTGGTGAACAAATCAGCAGTGTTGGCCTCTGAGGCCACGTACGAAAGCCGCAACTGACCACGCTGCTGTAGCTCACGAGCAAGGAAGTAGCGAAGAGCAACGTGCTTCGTTCTGTGCTCTAGTGTGTGCTCTCGACATAAGGCCAGCATGGCCTTGTTGTCTACGTACAGCAGTGGAGGAGAACGAGGCGACTCTGCAAGGTTGGTCAGCAGGTAGGTGAGCCAGCGAAGCTCCTGTGCAGCCATGGCCCGGGCGTAGATCTCAACCTCACAACTGGAGCCGAGAACAGAAGACGAGCGAGTAGCTCGCCACAAAACAGAGCCGGAACCAAGGCTGAAGGTGTAACCCTGTGACGACCGCTGCGTAGCCTGGTCGTCAGCCCAAGAAGCGTCCGCGTGCCCAATGAGGACCACTAGACTCCGCCCTCCAAGCACTAATCCCATGCCCGACGTACTGCACAAGAAGCGCAACACCCTCTTCGCTGCAGCCATGTGCTCTGGTCTGTGTCTTCCAGGAGCAACATAGCGTGCGAGAATGCTAAGAGGGTATGCAAGGTCAGGTCGTGTGCAGGTCATCAGGTACATGAGGCAGCCAACAAGCTCTGGATACGGGCCACTCGACTCTATGGACTCATCCGAAGGCAGAGCTGAGAGCGAGTGGCGAGTAGGCAGAGGAGTGGCCTGAGGCGAGGAGTACATGAAGCTGAAGCGCTGAAGGACCGGCTGCACCATGTGTGATTGAGTCAAGGTAATGGTGCGGTGTGCTCTGACCCGGGTGATCTGCAAGCCAAGGTAGCTGCGCAGTTCACCCAGGTCTGTGCACGTGTGTCTCTTCTGCAGCTTGGACTTCACGTAGGCAAGTCCAGTAGTGTCAGCTATGGCAAAGACCAAGTCGTCGACGTACACGAGGATGTGGAACGGCGGCAGAGAGGTGTCGGTGCGCAGAAACAGCGACGGGTCAGCAGTAGAAGGATCCAACCCAAGAGCCGCAAGCGTAGTCGTCAGTGTGTCGTGCATTTTACCTGGCGCCTGGCGGAGACCGTAGACTAAACGCCGGAGACTCGACTGGGTACCAGGAGGGAAAGACCCAGTGGAGCCAGGTGTGCGGCGCAGCCAAATCTCCTCGTGCAGGCTGCCCTGCAAGAAAGCTGTGCTGAATTCGAGAGAGTGCAGCTCTAAGTCACGGTGAGCCGCAACGTGCAGCAGTACCCGAAGAGTGGTCATCTTCGGGGTGGGGGAGAAGGTCTGAAAGTAGTCAACTCCCTGTCGCTAACTGAAGCCACGAGCCACGTAACGCGCCTTGAAGACAGGCGGAGAACCCAGCGGCCGCTTCACCCTGAAGACCCACATGCCACTAACGATGTTCGCCCCAGGAGGGGGAACAGCGTCAACGTAGGTGCCTGTGGACTTCCAGGAAGCCATCTCTGCATCCATAGCTACCTGCCACTGAGAAGAGAAGGGACCCTCTATCGCCTTCGCGTAAGAGCGCGGAGTCGGGATGTCAAGTGCATCCGGGTCTCCCTCAGGGGTAAGCAGTACAGACACGAGATGAGGTGAAGCAGCAGCCAAGCACTGGAAATCCTCCTGCCTGTCCTCAAGGACGTCCGTGCCAAGGGCACATTCACCACCTGACGGACGGAGGACAGACAGACTCTGACTCAGCAACAAGCTTGGCAGCGTAGTCTAGACGACAGCGAGCAGCAAAGTCGACGAGCTCTGCAACTAGGGCAGACGCAGCAGTGGACTCAAAGGAAGGGTCAGTGACAACACTAGCAAGAAGACGCGTGACAGTAGGACTGGAAGAGAGTCCGACTCCGGGACGACAAGAGCAGGAAGAGAAGACTTAGGAGGAGAAGGCAAAGGGGCACACAGAGTAGCAGTGGACGGACGTAGAGACATCCGGTGCGTGCCAGGGACAGGAGGAGGACGCTGACGCGAACCACGACCACTAGCGCGAGCAGTACGGAAAGGCGACGCAGGGCGAGACGCAGGCTCACGACGCTCAGCAAGACCTCCTGTAGGACTAGTATAGGGAGACGGAGCAGGCAGTGCATAGGCCGGCTGTAGCCGTAACTGTGACTCGACAGGCTGTGGACACTCTAAGGGAGGAGGAGGACCAGCAGAAGGCGGGAGACCAAGAACCTGCTGAAAGAGCGGAACGAAGTACGGCCGAGGCCGCGCGGCGACTCCAGACACAGCAGGGACAGTACCAGTACCCCCAGCAGCAGCACCAACACCAGCAGCACCTCCAGCTCCTGTACCTCCAGCAGCACCAGGAGCACCCTCAGCAAGACCACCTCCAGGACCGACAGTAGTAGCCTCCGCGCCAACACCCTCACCAGCTCCAGCTCTAGAAGTACCCGCAGGCCCAGCAGCTCCAGTACTCCGAGTACGAGCACCTCCGGGACCCGCGGCACCAGCACCCTTAGCAGCAGCAGAACCTCCAATACCCGCAGCACCTCCAGCTCTAGCAGCTCGCCTTCAGCGCCGGGCAAACCACTCACGCAACTCTTGTGGAGAGAGTGGCTCCCGGTGAGACGAAGCACATAGAGAACCACCAGGCTCAGCACAGCCAGACGCCCCACGAGGAGGCCCAGCTGCCTCACGCTCAGCACCTCCAGGCGTAGCACCCCCAGGCTCAGTACCCCCAGGCTCAGCACCCCTAGGCGTAGCACCCCCAGGCTCAGCACCCCCACTCATAGTACCCTAAGGCTCAGCACCCCCAAGCGTAGCACCAACACGCTCAGCACCCCCAGAGTCAGCACCCCCAGAGTCAGCACCCCTAGGCTCAGCACCCTCAGCAGCACCAGAGTCACCAGCGACCTCAACAAGCTCGACAGCGTCTACCTGGGACACACCTGAAGGGGCAGGACCCTGAGGGGGTACGGGATCTACCGGGGGGGGACTTGGCACAAGGAAGAGCGGTGGCGGGGGGAGGGATGGAGTGCGGTAGGGGAAGAGCTGGTAGTAGGGGACCGACTCGTCGAACGTGACGTCCTGGGAGGACAGAACACGGCGAGAGGTGGGGTGGTAGAACTGCCACCCTGGGGCGTCAAGGGGGAAACCCAGGAAGACGCAGGGAGCAGCACGAGGGGACAGCTTGTCCGTAGACAAGTCGCGGACAAACGCCCGAGATCCCCAGACACGGAACGCAGACGCATCGCCAACCTTCCCCGTCCACAGCAAAGCTGGGGAGGTCTCCGACATGGAGACCCTGGGCTGAGGGTTGATCTGATGCGCCGCGTACCGGACCGCAAACGGCCACAGAAAATGGGGGGCAGCCGCATGCATCATGGACGTACGGGCGACGTCCATGACCATGCCAATGCGGCGCTCAGCAATCGCATTTTGCTGTGGAGAGTCCGGAAGCG